GCCCTATGCATGTTGGAGCTATTTTTTACAATTTGGGGGTCAAAAATCAAGATAGAAAGTTGAAATTTGGGGCATCTAATGTTCTAATAGAGCTCTACAACATGTATTCCGGTTTTTTGGAAATTTCCAAAATTTTGGATTTTATTAGCTGTTTTCCAAAAAATATAGTTTTTTGAATTTTTAGGGGTGAAAAACGCATTTTATGGAAAATCCGAGATAGCCATTTTAAAGAACTCGTTGAGCTGCGTCTTTTGATGTCCTTAATTTGCAATTTGCTTCAAACCCTGATTTTTGGCGATTTTTTAAACATTTACCACTTTTTGACTAAAAACGCCACGTAGTTACATCACTAAAATCGATATATCTCAAAACTTTTTGGAAATTTTTTCTTAAAAATTGCACAGGAGACGTCAAATTGATGGGGGAGAAGGTATGCCAAGTTTCAAGTAGATAGCGAAAGTGGTTCATGAGTTATTCAAGAAAATCGGAGGGGGGGTCGGATCCGACCCCCCCCCCCCAGGCGGTCGCGGGTTAACCCTCGCCCGCACATGGGGGGGGGGGGGGGGGGGTTGCCACCCCCCAGGTAGTCTTTCTGCCCTGCACTCAACATTTTTTGAGCTAGAAGGCTGATTTTTCGTATAGCTGCTCCTCTATCCTTTCTTGATGTTCACTGAAAATTTCAAGTTTCTGTGGTTTTTGGTTTCGGAGATATGACCTTGTTTTTCAGGTCATGTCATGACCCAAATGGCCAATTCTCAAGATCTTGCGTTGGCTATGGGCCTTGTGAGCTTTTGACACCTTGATTTCGGCCTTTTTTGCCAGTCTTACCTCCCACCTATCATGGAACATGTTGTCATCGGTATATGATAAGCAGCGCACTTGATATCCAACGGTGACCCAAAACAGCAACATTTTTTAGTTTGACCTGACCTGGAAGGTCAATGACTGACCTGAGCAGGTAAAACTGGATATCATTGGATTCGGCTCTTCCCAAAGAATCTTTTTGGTCTTTACCGCTAAGCTCTATCTCCAACAGGAACGAAATGGCGCGGGGGGGGGGTGGCAACCCCCCCCCCCCATGTGCGTTCTAGGATGGGAAAATGGCATGTGCGGGCGAGGGTTAACGCTTCGCAGGACGAACAGCACTCGGGACAATTACTGGCATTGGCCGTACAGCCACTTCATTTGATATGAGCTAGCTGAAAACGAGTTGAGTAGGCACCTCAACACGGATTTACCTAGCTATCCTCGCCCGCACGGCGTCGATGGCAGCGCGAGATGTCTTGTGCAAACGCAGACCATTTATAGGCGCTGGGCAGCCGTGTTTGCCGTCGGGCCGTCACCGAGAGCCGCCGCCGCTGCCGGATGACGCCTGGGGGTCTGATGACGTGCCGCGTCATCGGACGGCCCGGCGCCGGCGTTACACCATACCACCGGCTGGTTGATATGCCGGTGTGGTGGTTGGGGAGAAGAGGTGGGGAGGGTAGGGTTGAGGGATGGATAAAACCTTATAATACGGAAGATGTGATACCCGTGAATGAATGTAAGTTCCCGTGATTATAAGAATACACTCGTTACGTAATGTACACTGTACAGCTCATAGACTCGATGACCCTGCCGGCATTGTATGTCACCCACAGAACGATGCTTCTTTTACCCACTACCCCAACATGAATCGCATGTGTCAGCGCTTGAGTCCCAGCTGAGTAGCACGCTTGAGCGAAGGAGAGCCCGCCGTCGCGTCGGCCTACTCGAAGGCACGAGTGGCCCCACGGTCGAGAGCCCCTAGACCTCAGTCACAAGGTCGGCCCGAGCTGGACAGGTGCGCGGTAAGGCGGTCAAGCATGCCAGAGGTCGATGAGCTTTGAATAAACCTCCATGGGGCTGACTAAACGTAAACATCCACTGGACATTTGAGAATGCATGAGCCATGAAATGTGGAAAAGTTGGACATATCAGTATATCTCGCGTCAAGTTTTTGGCGGCGGATTCACTGAGCGACCCAGGCATACCTAATGCTTACGCTCCATTCACCGATAAAGTGAGGGACAGCTGCCATGATAAGTGCTCACTGCTCACTAGTTAACCCTCGCCCCGTTGGGGGGGGGGCATTTTGGCCCCCCCCCTGTGGTTTTTCCTGAATAGCAAGAAAACGGCGGCGCGCAGCGCCGCCAAATTTTCAGTACCTTCCCGGGCATCAATTTGACACCTTCACACCAAATTTCAAGTCTTAGGTCACCTTAGGTCAGGAGTTATTGAGGTCAAACTGAGGTCATGTTCGAGCAAAAATGAGCAAAAAACATGCAATCTTGAAACGCTCACCAAATCTACAGTTATCAATCAATTTCAAAGTTCTTTATATGGTCTAGTAGACAAAAAGCGGCGCTAAAAAACTGCTATCTCGGATTTTCAAAATTTTTGGTTTTTGACCAAAAAAAAATTCAAAAAATTGATTTTTTTAGAAAAACTTTAAAAAAATCCAAAAATTTTCCGAATTTCGAAAAAACCGGAATATATGTGATAGTCCCAGCGCTCTTCTATATACATACCAAATTTCAGATCGATATCTCGTTTTTTGGCCAAGTTATAGCGAAAAAACTGTTCAAAAATGATGACGTCAAATTTTTGAACTCAATTTTTAGCAATTCTAGACCACGTACGGCAAAACAAGGACCACCATTGAACTCCCCGTGACGAGCTGCATCGATTCGATACCCATTTTATGCAAAAATATTAACTTTGAAATTTGACCTAATTTGACCTGACTTTGACCTGACCTTGACCTGACCTTGACCAAAACGTGATCTAAGCTGGCCCCAAAGGCTGCCTGACCCATATGATCGCATTTGTCATGTAAAATGGACCATAAAACATGTATCACACGACACTTTCATATTGTGATCCCCCCGTGACCTGACCTCTGTGACCTGACCTGGTATCAGTGACCTCAAATAGCAAAATATGTGTTTGAAGAACATTTCCCCATCGATGATTTTCAATGAAATGCATTTTACTCGATTTTACAACGCATTTCTTGAAGTGCCTGTAAACGGTGAAAATTGGACCTTTGACCTGACCTGTGACGTCATCGGTTTGACCTAGGTCAATAAAATTGGGTCACAAGGTAGTTCCCCGTTGGGGCTATCCAACGCCGTTTACCGCTTGTCGCTATGTTGCGTGGTTCTCGAGATCTTAGGGGGGGGGGGCCAAAATGGCCCCCCCCCCAACCGGGCGCGTTGCTCGGCAGAGCCCAACGGGGCGCGGGTTAATAGTGAACGAACTGAACGGATAACTACGCATAGCGCCGACAGTCTGTGCATTACCGTCCCCCGAGAGAACGGACGTGAGGGAGCCCGCACCGCTCATGCTGCTCGTTAGGGTGGTTTCTCGGGTTACCGGTGAAACAGCAGGCTTCATTACTTTCATCGTTCTCCTGTGGCTATGATGCATGGTGGGGGCTCATTACAGTAGCCGGCTGTAATGAGACTAACGGGAAAGGCGTGCCGCGCAGACCGAGACACGCCGAAATAAAACAGTAATGGGCTAAAGCAGCAAGGCGGTCTCTAAATACTTAAGTGTGTCACGACACATTTCTAAGTGAAAAGGAAGTCAAGTTTAAGAGCTCTGAAGCTTTATTTTTTTAGTATTGTCGATAATCTCATCCGTATGACGATATTGTAGGCCTACCACTGCTGTCACTACACGGCTCACCCACGGGCTAACTTCAGGATCTGAGCCTGAGGCAGACGACCCACCGACAGGTGTGCCCAGTCGCGGCCCACTGACCCGGCAATTATAAACCAATCACGGTCGGTACTGTCGTGTTCGTGGGCTCACTAGTCCCGTGGATGAGCACTAAGGATGATTGAAGAACAGGACACACGTGAGGGGGCTGGGGGGGGGGGGGCGGTGCCTTTCACGGTACACACGGCTCCTTCGAGGACAGGGGTGGGAGGTCGTGGACTCTGAATAAACAGGTGTCTGAGCTAACAGGGCCAGAACTGACGCAAGATTATGAGCAGGTGCGCCACGAAGCTAGAGTTTGAAAGATCCTGTGCATGGTGGAGCTATCAAAATATTACTTGATGGTTTATGCTCCTTCGGTCTAAAATAATTTTTGAGTTGAAGTTCGGGTCAAGGTCAGGTCAAATAACCGAAATAAGAGACTAGCTGCAGTAAGTGGTTTCGAAACGTTACGCTGACTGCTGAGGGATCTGTTGTCATAAGCTCATCCAGTCGTAAATACAAAGATCATCATAACCTAAGTGCCAAGTTCAAGCAAAGGTCAGTTGAGCGAAGGTCAACCGTCGAAGTCTAGGTCAGATCACAAAGTCGGTCTATTTACCCAAACATGTAGCAAGAAGGCTGACATTTCAGTCACGTATGACACATCTAATTAGCAATTTGATGCGAAAACCTTGAATGACAGTTGTCTTATCAGCGAGTGGATGTTGTGGCAAAAACGTGGCATCATGAAATGGTCATCAGCGTTACCAATGTTGCAACGTCATGCCCTGCTCTACCACTCTGACCCAGCATTTACACCGCTCAACAAGCATTCGATCCGGGCGTCAGGCCAGCTCTCGGCGCCCGCTTTCATTCCTCGTTCGTGAGAGGGGTGGTGGGGCGGTGCAGACGTCTCGTGACCCCGGCGGTCATACAGGTGACCCCGGCGGTCAGACGGTGTGACCTCCGGGCTCTGACCCGACCGGAACACGCCCAGACGATAGCCTGTTCCCAGTCGCCGGGTGGAAACAGGCGAGGGCAACAGGTAACAGCGTCCTGCCGCGTCGGCAGCAGCTGGACAAGAACCTCGGGTCGGAGTGTCGGCAGGACGGATCACCAGTAAAAATGCGTTGGTGCGGAAAAGTGAGGTCCCGTGGTTTTTAAAAGAAGCCCTAGAGGTCCGTATGAAGTATATAAGCGAGCGATATACAGCTGAGCATACGTATCTAACTGTTAATACTTCACTTGTCCTCAAAGGTCAGAAAAATAATGGCTCTTACGTGCAAATTTATTATACTTGTGAATATACGTACACGACTCTGAAGCACTATTTACAGCAGTTAGCCGAGCGTTGAACACAACAGCCGCCCATGATAATCACAGATACAAAAATAGCGTCTATAGATGCCTCCTCGATGTATGAATATAACATATCCATTTTGATTCAAACCAATAAACAATTAGAACGCGCGGCTCACAGTGGGATAAACTCACTGAGGCGTCTGGCCCCTACAGAAACCCATCACAAAGCATGGCGTGCGGGGCGGGAGGTAACAGTGCAGTTACAGGCTGGGGTTAGTGGCCGGCCGGCTGGCAGTCCGCCCGGGTCATTGGGCGTTACAAGAGCGAGACTCGGGCATCCAGAGCAGCGTCAGAGGGGTGGTTTGAGAGACGCACGCTTCGTTCAATCGTGACGATCATGTCCGATTCGTAAAACGGACAGCTAGTTTGAAATGACAAAATAAGAAGAAAACCACAGCACATTCCAAGCCAACAAACTTCAAACAACTCTGAACATCAGCGGTATCTTGGGTAGAAATTGAAGGCAAGAAAAGGTGCGCATTAAGTACACTACGCACTACGCAGTTTAGTGACCAAGCGAGGTCAGAGGTGGTTTAAAAAGCGGAGTAGCAAGGCGTGGATCATGAGAAGCCACATCGAGGCATAGCAGCCCGGGGAGATTTCGACACAAACGAACGTCAGGACGTCCAATAAGCTCCGAGTAAGACATACACCGCGGTACAGCGGCGTTACTTAAACCGCTGTGCAATGTGCATACTCTGAATCGCACCCTCAGTGAGCTCAATAACTCCCATCGAGCTCACCACGGCAGTCACTCAGCCCCGCTCTGAAGAGGAAACACCGGGCGATATGGGACGACCGGCTCACCCCGACCTCACAGCCCCGGCCACACACAGACAGACACACAGACGTGGCCGGGCCGGCGGCAGCGCCCCACTACGTCTCGGTGAGCTCCAGGAGACTGGTGGTGGCGGCGCCCTTATCGCCGCCGCGCTGCTCCAGCACAGAGCGGATGATCTCGTCATCCATGGCCGGGAACATCTCCTTCAGCTGTGGACGGGCGCAAGGAGAGACGGTCAGACGGAGACGGAGACGGGATAACAGCTTAACCCATTAACGCCCGTAATTCCCCAGCGAACGCACACGAATGCCCATTTGCCGACTTAGAGGTAATGGTCCCCTAAGGGTACCATGCGAGTTTGGTAAATGTGCGAATTCTAGAAATATCCTTTTTTGAAGTGGTACCTTTTGGTACCACTGGGCGTTAGTGATATCATTTTTTCTCAAAAACATGCATTTTAGCAGCATACAAGATATGTTGCCAAGAAGACTTTGCAGCTCATTCGTGAAAATTGGAATATTAGACGACATACTGATCGGCAACATTATGGGAAACGCTCGCCGCTTATGTTTTTTCAAGTTGTCAGATTATGACGTCATTACTGCATGCTATGCCTAACTGCCATAAACGTCAATGCTATTATTCACCTGGTGGTGGGTCAGTCTAATGAAAAACTGTGCTGTTTCAAGCAAGGATGCGGAGTTGATGGATTTTCAGTGACAGACTCTGACTCCAATTCAGACTTTTACATTTCGACTCCGACTCTGACTCCGACTCCAGGCATGATTGTCGACTCCGACCGACTCTAACTCCTGCTCCATCTCCGCAGCCCTGGTATATCTGCAGAGTCGCGGGATTTTCGGCGACTCGAACTCCGGCTTCGGCTTCCACAATCGACTCCGACTCTGACTCCGACTTCAGTTAAAGATATCGACTCCGACTGACTCCCGATTCCGATTCTGCAGCCCAGGTTTCAAGGCTTGTAGAGTTGTTTACTTTCCTAAAATGCACAAATATCTTTATACAAATGACAAAACAAACGGTTTTCTAAAAGCCATTACCAGCAACCACCCTACAATCTGTTTTATAATTTCTTTCAAAATTATGAAAATAAACATGAAGCCCATAGTCAAGATCCAGCACAGTCTGTGCTTACGGTTCATGCACTGAAAGACACGCGCTATACCTACCTACCAAATCTAATCCAGCAATCAACGAGACAGATCTTCAAAAATGGACTTCAGCCGGATTGTGCAGTGCTGGTTGCGCTGAGGCACACGTTGCAGCAGTCAACACGTCATGCTTCTAGGCTCTAGCCGTTATGCTTCTCAATGTACGTCTCCGGGCAGAGCGCCACGCGCCCCTTGCCACAGATGACTATATGTACTAGTGACAGCCGCATAAGTACAATGCAAGCGCCAATTCATGGCGGAGCCCACTCTAATCCAGTGTCTGCATCAGTCGCGGCGTACGCAGCATTATCAGGTGCACGTACCAAGCAGCAGGTCTGCAGGAACTCGTCTGTCACTACCATCAGGATCAATATTTCCTTCGTATACTACCGCACAAACTGCACTGGGATGTGACGTCGTTACCCACATCTTCCTGAACAACATCAACAGCCTTTCTAAACAACAAGACGATCTCAAAACCATGCCCCTCCCCCTCCCCCAAGCAATATTCATTTGGGCCTTGACCACATCTCTGCTTGGCAAATGGCAGGGATACCCGCAATAATAATAGCGATTACAGGGCAAACATCCTATCCAACATCAATGTGTCACGTCAGCGGTGAATAACTTATCAGCAATGAATGCACCAGTTTCAAGCGACGAGGGCGACGAAGGCACTCCCCTCCGAACTCTTTTTCGATTCTGTTTGCCGCAAACGGCACACCGTCCCTGAGAAACGTTACACAAACGACTCTCAGCCTACACAGGCGCCCCTTTTTAGCATAGAGACGTCCCCTTAGGTTTCATAGGCATCAAAGGCGCCTCTTTAGACCTAACAGGCGCCCCTCGTTCCCACTGAGGCGCCCCTAAGGGCTTCACAGGCGCACCTCTTTCTATAGGCCTCAGGGGCGTCCATCCTTAGGGATGCAGTGGCCAAGCTTTCTTATGGAAGCTCGAATTTGACCTTCATGGGCGCCCCTTTTGCATGGCGTCGCCCTTTCTGCGTGTTGGCGCCCCTACATATACTATAGGCCTCATGGACCTCAGAGGCACTCCAGAGGCTTCACGGGTGCCCCTCTTTCGCATGCAGGTGCTCCTATGGGCATCGAAGTCGCTCCTATGGACATCCTCATTTGCATTGAAGCGCCCCTATGAACTTTATAGGTGCCCCTCTTTCGCATATCGGCGCCCCTATGGTCTCACAGGCACCCCTCTTACGCACCCAATGTCTTTAGGCGGTGGCGTCCCCTTGAGGGATGGCGCCCCAAATGGCAATTTGTCCGCATCACTCCGTTGAGCATTGTTACGCGTCTGCACAGAACGCGCACGCATGAAATTGCGAAAAAACGCTTAGCTTAACGCCCAGTGGTACCAAAAGGTACCAACAAGAATTCTTCCACTAGGGACGCCAGGATTCATGACGAAACATCGGATATTCTGCTTAACTGTAGCTGCGAGTTCTTCATCTTTAATGTAAACACACTTTGGCCAAAAGAATATTCACAGACATGCAAATACAAACGTTTCTTTCTCCTAACGTCAGCCAATGACTGTGGCGCCTCGAAACACTCCTCGCTTTTCTGCACCTCACATGAAGTTCTTTGTATCAGCACGTTACTTTCATCCAACAGCATATCCGGAAAGGAGGCGATTATCCAATGACAGCATCTATGTGGCGAAAAAAACGTATGGTCTCAACGCAGCGGGCCAAAATGTGCGTTGGTACCTTTTGGTACCGCTGGGCGTTAATGGGTTAACATCAGCCAGCAATGGCACCTGTTCTGTTCGTGACATTGTTCGTGGAGTAGTCTCCTGATTGCTCCACGAAAGGCCTGCTTAATAGTTCTGCATAGCCTGAATTGGAAACGTGCAGCGAATGCCACACCATTGAACAATTATTTTGATAAGAAGGGAAATCCTAAGTACTGTTCGAACACCCTACAAACGGAAAATCAAGAAAAGAAATACAATATTGTTGCGATTTTAAGACATACTGTTGGCGCAGTTTCGACAGATAAACACCAATTGAAGAAACGTTTGCTCTCACATCCCCTAAATTGCGGCACGCCGCTCATCTGCGATTTCCCGACTTCCGAATTCCATTTCACCAGCTCCCCCTACATCTCTCCCTCTGCTCAGTTCTCTCCCGCGCCACCGAGCGGCGCCACAATCGCTCACCTGGGCCACGTCCTCGGGAGTGACGGGCGGCGGCCGGGCCGGCGGCTGCGCCTGGGGCGTGGGCACGGCCGGCGCCGAGTAGACGGGTACGCCGATGGTGGGCATGAGGCCGATGTAGGGCTGGGGTGCCACCATCACCGGCATCTGACCGGGCATCGCCGGCACGCTCATGTCACCCGACATCGGCTGCGGAGAAACAGAGAGGGAGGCGGGTCAGGGGACTAGCAAAACACTCTGGGGTCAGGGGACCGTTCCGTGCTTCTATCCTCAGGATACTGAAATCCTTCTCCTCCACGCCGCAACCCCCTTCCGGGCTGGACAGGTAAATTTATCTCATGCGGGCTGCTCCCTTGGAGCGGCACCGCTGCTCCCGAGGGAGTGCACCCCGTAGCCGGGTGCAGTGAGTGCCTTGGGGCTGGGTGGCCTGTCCTCTGGACGGGCTCAGCCCCGGCGACTCACTAGGGTGCCTGCCCAGACCAATGTCTCCCCCTAATTCCTATCATCCTTCCGGCTCTGAAATGGTCTAATTGGACCGAAAGGCCTAACCCAACAAAAAAAAAAAAAACAAAAAAAAAACAAAGGGGTCAGGGGATGGTGCGACAGGAAACAATACCACATCGCAGAATCCATATAAGTCACTAAGCCGAATTTGAAACCACACCCAGACCAGACATATCCCCTCGCGGTGCACAACCGCCAACATAATCCATAATTCTAGGCGAACATAAACCCAAACAGAAACCGTAAACAACCCACGGCTGCGTGACAAATACGAGGGGGTATCGAAAAGTTCTGATCATCACCATGAATTAGATGTGATAGAAATTTGATTTTCTTTGCATGATGTTCATTACTTCTTTGCAAGCTGCCACACACGACTGTAAACTTATTGCATCGTTTCTTGAGCTGCCTCAGGCGGTCATTGTAGGACCTTCGCGCTGTCCCGTAAATCACTGCTCCACCTCATCAATGACGTCATTTCTGTCCTAAAATCGCCGGCCATGCTGTGGATTCTTCATCTCCCGTAACAATCAAGAGTCAGTTAATACCCGGTCAGGTGAATTTCTTAGATGCGGTAGGATTTAATGTCCACATCATGTTGTTTCTTCAATCGCAGCTCAGGACGAATGGGTGGGGGCGCTGTCGGTGCGGATAAAACATCTTTCTTGGGCTTTTTTGCGGCGATTCTGCTTGAGGCCATCTCGCAACTTCTTCAAAAGTGTGCAGTAGTGCTTGCTTATCATTATCCGACCATCATCAAGACAGTCGGTAATGACTATTCTACGCCAGATCCAGAACACTGATAGCATTGACCTTCCATATCGGCTTCTGCATCTTCGCCTTTTAAGAAGGACAGATGTGCCATGCTTAAACTTCTTGATCATCTTTTTGTCTCTGGATCATGCACATAGAACCCAGCATTCGTCACATGTCATCAAATGTTCGAAGAGGTCTTCAATTTCCTAAAAAAGGCCTAGTTTTCATTTCGAAAGGCCAAGACGCATTTTTCTCTTGAACAAAGTAGACACATGAACTTCTAAGCGGGCTGACTCCTTTATCGTCTGTAGTTCTTCGCTGATAATATTTTCAGGCACTGCCAGCATTGATACATTTCTGTTGCACAATCATCTGAAAGGTCACACGACGATCTGTAAGGATGAGGTCTTCCACTTCCTTCACAGTCACCACCTTGTCAGTCACTGGTAGTCACTCACTTCTTGACTCCCCTGCAAGGGCCATGCAACCAAGTTGAAAATTATTTCCTCATTTTCAGTAAGTGCATGAGATGGGCTTTCCTCGCCATAAACTAATTTCATGTTCTTGATGTATTTTTTCAGTGTGATACCGTTTCAAATGCATTAGTTGAATGACGGATCGGTCCTCAATGGGCCCAATACTCATCTTTTTTACTTCTAAGTCTCTCCTACATAAGATAAAACCACTTCTCAGGATTCTCTTTGCGGGAGCATTGTTCTTAAGAACCAAATATAATACCCACCAAAAATCATCAAAATCGGTCTATATTTTCTATGTGATGATCAGAACTTTTCGATACCCCCTCGTAGTGTCACGACTTTTTACGACACCCCAACATGTTCAGTTGGACGAATTTTAGTTGTCTGCTAAGAGCCCTAAATTAATGAGAGACACAGGATACATTGGTTTCTATGGACATTGAGCAGTAAATGATACCATTGTAGTACAAATAGGACAAATCACATCGACGCAAGTGCACAACAGCCATAAAATCCCACACACCACAGAAACTGGGCACACACTACATCGCTCCAACAGAAAAAGGTATGATTTTCAGTCCGCGACCACCCTTCTCTGAGCTCGACAATGGGGCAGACGAAAGTTCCGCACCCATGATTAATGCACACGAGAGCTAACTTTCCGGGTGGAGGCTCACACGGCCAGTCAGTCGGAGAGCTAATTAACAACTTAGGATAAGTAGCCGTACTTTTAACACCGGGAGCCCCCGGTCAGAGATGAAAAAGCGCCGAGAGGTGATAATGCTCCGTTATTAACTACAACGCCCGATTAGAAGTGAGCACTGGCGGATCCAGACTTGCGTTTTGGGGGGGGCCAACTCGTGCAAGGAGCCAAACCTAGGGCACCCCCAAATCCTGTTTTCTCATCGGATTTAGGCCACTTATTTTTCGTCACAGCCCTGAAACGATAATTTTTTTTAAACTAAAAAAAAAAAATAAAGAGAGAAATGGTAGTCCACTCAACCCGTGCCTTAATATTACTTTGAAAACGCTTCAAATTGCTTTTGTCGACCACCGCTCCGGGTCGGTGCTTGGCGCAGCCTTCGCGGGCTGGGAGGTGTCGGTTGAACCTCTCTGCCGTTCGGCCCCTGATCAAGCTAGAGCTCGCGGAAAAAACGAGTGTGTTGCCTGTCAGTGACGAGAGGAAGCCGATGCTACCCGATTTTAAGGTCCTTGGTCATTGGTTGACCTTCCAGGGCGGTGTTTCACGGTCGCGCTGCCAGCCGCTGCCAGCGCATTCCGCGAGCTAAGGTCAACCTTCGGTAGTGTTGTAGGTATAGGCTAGTTGATGTCTCCATGGAAGCCAAAGTGCCAACAGCGCTGGCAGCGTGCCGTGAAACACCGCCCAGGTCAGGTCACAGACCCAAAAGACGGGAAAATCAGGGCCTGTCAGAACCTCCTAAAGTAAGGCTGTAATAGATTTTTTTTGTGCTGATCACGAATTTCATGTTAGTTTGGATCATAGATGATGTCTTCATGCCTTTAGGCCATGTCGGGGCAGGCCAGGTCAGGTCAACCAGGTCAAACAGTACTTATGGGTGTCCGTGTAGCAGGTGTCCGACTACCACTGGCAGCTACGTAACATGATACGAAGGCATCAAAACTACTTCGTAAATGTTCAAATGGTTGCTAAATGCTAAATTCAAAATCAGCTAAACGAAACTATCCTAGAAACATGTTAAACTCGGAAAAGTGCACCGAGGTCATCAAAGGTCAATGACCTGACTTGACCCTAAGGTGACATTGACACCTACCACAATGGTTGGGACCAACATCATTTCACATGTTTGAGCGTTTTAAACCACGAAAAGACTGTAAACGAGCGGATAATGTGAGCCGACATACGCGGAATCGCGATTCCGGCCAAACATGGCCTCAAACATGGCCAAACATATGGTGCGTTCGGAGAGGCACATTCCACGTGGAATCCGTGGAATACTCCATGCGCGCGGAACATTCCCGGAGATTGGCCGTTCAGAGAGATACGCCTCCGAACGCGGCACGGGGAATATTCCAGGGGACGGTGAATATTCCATGCTCTCCGAACGCACGGATAGTCTCGAGAAATAGGCCACAGGTCAAAGGTCACTTGGGTCAGGGTCATGTAATTTTCAGACTTTGTCAACATGAGGGTGCTAAAGTTTCGTCGCGATCGGATTCATGATAACTTACACGATAACTTCACGCGTCGATCGAGAGGTAAAGTATGCAATAAGAACTTCTTGGGTGAAGACGAGACCAACACTCAAGCTCACATATTTTTAATGATACGGTAGTTTCTACCTACTACGCTACTTTCTCACATTCATATTTCTTAAGTGTTTTTGGGGGCCAAAATACATGTTGCCCCCTTTCAGGCTTGGGGGCATGACCCCGTGGCCCCCCTGGATCCGCTAGGCCGAAACTAACTAGGCCGTTTTCAAACGGTCTGATATTTCAGGTCATGGTTTGCAAACGGCCGGTGTTTTCAGGCTGTTTCATATGCCCTGACTGGGCCAGGCCGTTTGCAAACGGACAACTTTCATACGGCCTGTAACATATATTCATATTTCACCATCTGTCGCAGCATCAAATGCTGATGTGGTGCACTCAAAAGCCGGAATTGGTCCTTGGATGCCGTAAGGACCCTTTTAAGAAATAAGTGACCCGACTGACCCCTTAGAGATTGGCCTGAGCTCTGACCGAAATAAGTCTTTTACCGTTTCACGGGAAGGGACAAAAAGGTCCCTGATATGCTTCTTGTACAATTACCAAACAAAACAAGCTTTTCAACGCCAACTCAGTGAGTGTTCCTAAAAAAATTATTGCGCATATTCCGTGAATGAAAAATTGCCGGGTCATGTCAGGTCAGGCTGCCAGAGCAAGTTTGTTAACTTGACAGTTCAATCGATATGTATGCAATAAGACCTTCTCGGGTGACGACAAGACATGACGACACTTTATGAAGGAAGCTAGTAAACCCGGTGGTTTCTCCATAGGCACGGGAACCGGGGCAGTGGGGACAGCTTGCCCACCCCCCAACTATGGGGCCGTGGGGGCGGTGCCCCCACAACTTTCAGACGGAATACCCCATTTTTTTGCAAATGTTTTCTTTTTTGTTGAAAAAAGCCAAGGGATGAAAAATAAGTGGCCTAAAACCACCGGTGAGAAAACTATATTTGGGGAGACCCTAGGTTGATCTCTATTATGGTGTGCCCCCCCCCAGTCTGAAAGTAGTTCCCGCACCCCTGAGTTTCTCTACGCTATTGAATCACGCCGGTGATTCTAACTTTTAGGTATCTACTACGCAACCTTCTCACATTAATTTTTCTTCAAGCGTTTTGGGAGGGGGGCCAAAAGATATGTTGGCCCCCCTTTCAGGCTTTTGGGGGGCCATGGCGCCGGTGGCCCCCTCCCTGAATCCACCAGTGGGGGGCGGTGCCACCACAACTTTCAGACGGAATACCGCCCTTTTTGCAAATGTTTTCTTTTTTGTGTTGAAAATGCCAAGAGATGAAAAATAAGTGGCCTAAAACCGGTGAGAAACTAGATTTGGGGGGACCCTAGGTTGATCTCTATTATGGTGTGCCCCCCCCTCCCCCAGTCTGAAAGTAGTTCCCGCACCCCTGACTTTCTCTACGCTATTGAATCACGCTGCTGATTCTAGTAAGTATCTACTACGCAACCATCTCACATTAATTTTTCTTCAAGCGTTTTTTTTTTTTTGGGGGGGGGGCCAAAAGATATGTTGGCCCCCCCTTTCAGGCTTTTGGGGGGGGCCATGGCCCCGGTGGCCCCCCCTGGATCCGCCAGTGGAAGTGAGTGTTCATCTATCTGCTCCGTCTCCCGATGAATATTCCTTTTACAGCGATAAGGCAAAGTTCACACCTGCCTTCGAGCATCTTCGAGGTAAATAAAATGAAAAGGGGCATTGCATTAACACAATTCACCAGATGGGTGATGTTTCAATTCATCACATCACAGGATACGCTGGACCATAGTCCCAAAGAATATTCCAATGCATTTCACCGAACGAACAAACATGCTACAGTTTCTACCACGCTCGCGAAATGAAAGATAGAAGAACCATTATAACGACGATGAAAGACCGCGCATTGTTCCATGTCTGGAGACCATAACCAGATTACAGGATGCCACACCGTTCAACACCTGCATAAGCTACTGAGAAACGTGCCCCGGGGGCCAGGATACATTTTACGCATCAATTTTAAGAAACCATTCTGAACAAGCCATGGATATTGCGTCACAAACACTAAGTCTCCATAATTCAAGTTTCAGACAAAATACACGACAGTCATCCCCCCCCCCCCGGGAGTCCAGACTCTTCCCCAGTAGAATCTGGACCCGTGAGCCGGCCATAACTCCCCATATTGACAGTGCTGGGGCGCCCTGTCGAATCTCCCACGCCTACGGGGGCCATAGGTCTGCCAGAGCCCGGCCAGTGCCGCCACAGACAGCGTCTATGTTATGACTGCGGGGGGGGGGGGGGGGGGGGTGGGGGCTGGCTTACCGACGACCGGCGGGGGAGAGCGGGGAGGGGAGGGAGAGATATGGGCGGCGTGAGAAACCGACAAGTGTCACTTTCTGTCCGACCGGGCCGGCCCGACTGCGCCAGTGGAAATAAACGAAATGGCCCGTGAGGAAATTATGAGCCACTGGAGACACACTGTGGCTGATGTAAGACATCGAATCCTCGACCGATATTCATCGAAATTCTTTTGAAATTTACTATTACTCTTTCGGCCTAGTTTGATGTGATTTTTTGAAGAGGCATCGGTGGTTTCAATCATTTCAAAGACTTCAAAGGCAACTTCATCCCCCAATTGTAATCAATTGCCATTGCCGGCGTAAACACTACCTCTGGCGGCTTCGGTGTTAGTGTTGGCAGACTATTTCAGCACTCTTAGATTTCTGCACTGCATTGCATGAGAACGATGCTTGCTGCAGTGTTCCTCATTTTAGATATAACCTGGCTTGGATATGGCTCTTTTATTGGTACAAATGCGCGATTGTAGTCAATGCAGTCGTAAAGAAAAGCATCACCAGTGCAAAGCTAAACGTCGGTTTATCACTATGCTGGATAATATAAAAAGTGACTTCGAAATCTAGGTGCTGTCCTGTACATAAATATTAACCCTCTCACAACCAGAGACACGCGCGGTGCCGGTAATTTTCCAAGGAATGTCATCAAGGGCAGAAAGTCTCCAAGCACCGCAGCACGCCTCACTGCCAATGACGGCGCCCCTTTCCAAACACGACCCGACACCCCTTTCCCCGACAAGGCAGCGCTTCCCCCCCCCCCCACACACACACTGACACTCGACACTCTCCCACGCCAGAACCCTCCCCGGGGATACCCTTGACATCTTCCGACCTGCCGGCAAGACCAGTCTAATCCAGTCTGCATCCATCCCTCGCGCGCTGCCACCCGTCCCATTCGGCCCGCCCTGCCGCCGCCGAGCCCACAAAAAACGGGCCACCTCTACGTCCAGGGCGAGTTGGTCTGTCGGACGGACGCGCTGCCGAGATGGATGACCGTGCCGCCGCCATATTTTATGACGTCCACAGAGACTGCCGGGGGCATTTCGTTTTGATACCGGCCAGCCAGGCGGCCACTCCACTCACGGTATATGAAGGCCGGGGAGGGGTGAGTAGAAAATTCGTCCGACCAAGTCCTGTCCGAACTGGCCGAAGAGTTAACTGGTCGGCCAAAAGTCGACCTGCGGCCGCCTGCGTCGCCTGCTGCCACCCATGGCGGCCCATTAGCCAACTTTGGTAGGAGGGCGCGTGGCGGACGGCTCAGCTGGGATCGCCGGCCGCTCACACCGCGCTGGCCGCGAGTGAACACTACCGGCGGCCAGTTCTCACACGGGAGCGGAGGCAGGAAACGATCAGCGCGGGATAGGTCACGGCTGCCGTACTATGAAAATGGGAAACGCCGTACTAATGAAGCAGCAGGAATAAGTTAAAATGACATTAAAATGTGTAAAATGATGTTCAACTGACCAAGCCGTTTTGTAAGTAATGAACGACCCTGTACCTTAAACGATTGTCTTCCAAAGTCTAGACATAATGACAAGCATATGCAGCTTTTTTAGCTCCGAACATTAGGCGCTAAGTAGCCCATACTTTACCCACATAACCGCAAAGCGATGCAGGCGTGCCGTGCCCTGCGCACTGACTGCGATTAAAAATAAATTTAGAAAGGCTACCGGTCGGGGACCATCAACCCCGTCCCCCCTGCCCCCCCCCCCCCCTAACCACGGCGGAGCGTTGTGCTAAAGACGGCAGTATTCCGGTCTGCTGGTGGGCCAGTTTTCCGGCCAATGGAACACCGTTTTACAGCTCCGTCCCAGTCAGCCAAGCGGCGCAGTGCCCAGCAAATGACCGACGTCAGGAACTCGGGGTTAGGATACCGCGAAACAACCCTGCGGTTCGTCCCAAAGAAAACTACCGCTCTCAGCTTTGAAAGCAAGAGAACATGGCTGATCTGACATGGGAAGAGACAACAGCTAAAAAACCTGCAGTACTTACCAATTGACCCAAAAACAAGCCTAATAAGCGGTCCTCCAACCTGAACAGCAACCCCATCTGACTGCCTCACGTGGGACACAGGGCAGGTAAGATTCTGACAAGATGAACAAAATCTCTCCAAGTTAGATTCTCCCCGTTAGACTGACCGTGTAGTTCATGATGAGGTTGATCATGCCCTCCTTGCCGTCGCCCTGTTTGCCCGAGAGCGGGTGCCAGTCATCTGAGGTCTCTCCGCCGGTGATGACGCAGTCCGGAATCTGCGGCACGGCACGGTCACGGAATGGGTCACGGCACGGGTAACACACATCCGCGACATATCATCGGTAACTGTTTAAAATTGTTTGACCGTCAACAAGGTAATGGCAGCAAGTGTGATAAGACTAGAGATTGGTCAGATTACAGATATGCAAGACCAATTAAATTAGCATGGCCAAGGGTAGCTTAGAAACGCAGCACTGCGATATAATCAAAAGTGCACCGGCAATACAAAAGGAGCTAAAGGTGCATAACGAATCATATCAAGGCAGCATGGTCAAATATACGAACTGATTAGCCAAATATCACGAACAACACTGAGCAATGATGAGTGAGGATGACAGAAATGTCAACGAATACAATGACACTGGTCGCGTTTCGGACTTTAGGACACTCCTACACAATGCCATGATTGATCTAGGATCTATTACAGTGCCATCGTGGGTTTCAGAGGCAAATGTCAGATCCGACATCAGAGGGCAATAAAGCTGACCAAAGATGAGCTACGGGCTGGCGCCCAGTCACTTGTCACATAAACAAATCAGACGATATTATTTACAGCAGTTGCGTGATTTAACTGCGCAAAGAACTCAACTAGAATTGTACTGTAGACACAACTAAATATCACGACACTGGTAAAATACGAACCGCTTTGATTCATTGATTATTTACCTAATTCCCGACACTCTCAAGATATGACCATTGGAATTGGTATTAAACAGTGCCAGTGCTCGCCACTTCCAACGCAGCATTGATCCTATGGGACCACCGTGCTGCGCTGTTCCCACACTATCCGGGTCCCGTCGCCCTCTATACTCCATTCATCAGTGACCAGGCGACACTGGCACGGACAGTATGCGACCAGCGCGTAACCCATCCCCGTGGGCACCTCCCCCGCCCACAGTTCCTGCTCTGCTCTCAGGAAGCAGAATATCGCCGTAACCGTCGCACTTTTATCCACATAAGTACGATATCCGTATGAGCATGTTCTCAGCCGGGGGCTGGTTACACCAGTGCTCATGAAGGCGAGCAAGGCAACACCAGGTGACTGTAAGAACCATTGAAATTGCACTGCCGCCGTCTGCCTGGATGCAGCTCACAAATACAGACAGAAATCAATCGGTTTGTTTGGCCAAGTGTGTGCCGTTTTAGCGATGACAAGACAAACTAGATTAAGCCAATAGGGCCTAAAGGAGGGAAATAAACCTTCCACCGCAGGCAATGGTCATGTTTCCGAGCATCACATAAGATCCGGCGAACAGTTAACGCATATGATATTATTAAATCCTGGGTGTCGGAGTTAGCACGCAGTAGCTGCGCTAAATTTACGATCATATGCGGCTCTGAAGTCACGCAAGTATTTCCATTGCCACGCTGTTGTGTTTGAGGAGCGCAGCGACGCAGGTGCTGCGGTTTTCAGAGCAGCCCCGCTCTGAACCAACCGAAGCCGTTCTCACACTACCAAAAGCCGACGAAGACCGCACACGAATCTCTTTCACACCACTGCTAACAAGAGTGTGTGTGTGTGCAAAGAGCGAGTTCTCAGCACGCTAGCGCAAGACACGGTCAAAAGGGCATTGATACGACACAGCAGTCACCACAACACTGTGATAGGACAACCACCCAACGAGACGGCACAACCCCCCCCCCCATTTCCGGCCATGGAGTCACTGTCTATGGTATCCCCTGCCTTCCAGCATCGGCCGACCTTCCTTCTCTGCCCACGGCGGGAGCGACCCATTAACGAGACACCGACGACCCAATGGCGACTCAGACCCGGGAACGGATCGGCCAGAGTTTCCCGCTTCGGTGAGCTCCTTTTAATTATATAGGTTGATTCGAGGCTCTTACTAAAGACGCGGATATGACACGGAGAGGATAAAGACTCAATCTAAGTCTTAGAATTCGGAAGACTACAGTATTGGCGATGAATACGAGTATGACGTTAGGTACGATGACAAACGAATAGTGCTGAACCAGGGCGGCAACACTAACCGGATGTATTCTGATCAATAATATACGAATCATCGACACTGTTAGATTGGGCCAAGGCCCGATAAGGCCTTCACAATGAAACACCGCACTGGTCAGTCACGATAGCCCGGGATCGCTGATTAACACCTGTCAAGAGCTGTGCACTACGCACTATGCAGCCGTGACGTATGTACATACGGTGAAAGTTGCGACATACGGTGGCGGTCGAGATGTGCTCTGACGTTAGAGACGTACTGTGACTGCCATGACACAGGGTGACGTTCGTGATACACGGTGACAATGTGTCAGCAGTGGTCAAATACTCGGTGGAAGGGATGAGCCACCCAACAGAGAAAACCGTTCATTCATTCGGATGCCAGTGAGGACGACGTATCAAAGCGGCACAGTCTGCTCACCTGGCCCAGACGCGTCCAACCTGTCTACAAGGGGCCCCAGACGGCCATGCCAGTCCTTCCCTGAACTGCAGAGCTATCCAAAGCAGCCACAGTCCCCCATAAGTTCCCCAAGAGTTAGAGAAGCCCTATGTAGACCGGTACACGCCACTCTACGCGACCGAAGGAACTCTTTAACGTCCAAAGTCCACATAGCGTGCCACGTGCCTCCACGTGCCAGGACAATGACCGGCTCCAACTACCGGATGTACCAGCGACACACGAAACACCGTATTTACGCACGACACAACGCGGCGTCATGGTTTACGCACAGACACCAGACCTAGAACTACGCATATCAAGAAATCAGGACACAGGTTCAGTAGGACCAAACGACGTAATGCCATGAGGGGTCAGAGTACAGCGGATGTGATCGGCAGGGAAGGCAAACGCGCGGTACTGAGATGACGCAACATACAAGGTAGACATTGCGCCGTCAATGAAGCGGGCGCGGGCGCCGGTTCGGTTTTGTGCCGACCTGCGTGTGGGGCGAGTCCGAGTTATGAGCAGCGCAGAATACTCCCGCGGGTCGGCAGTGAGCCTAATCCGAACAACGCAAAGTACCAGGGCGATGGTGATTTATTGGAGCCGTTGTGTCGGAAGGCCGAAGAGTTATGCCCACCGGTAACCAGAATAGGAACGCAGCGCCCCAGTTGTGGCAAAGCTGATGACCGCTTTGACGCCAGGCTGATGCGCCCAGCCGACTGCCCTTCAAAGCTGTTTGATCTGAATGAGCATTGCTGCAGCGTGAGATGTGTTATATAGTTGTTATTGAAGTTGGCGATTTGAACTGTTCATAGGCAATAATAATGTGGTGATGGAACAAATAAGTACCGCAAGAAGTATGCGAACGTTGCATATTGCTTCAAAGCCTTAACATTTCACACAAAATTGCCCTGTAGATCAAACTCAATCGAAATACGTGAGCCAATATTCCATCGCTTTGGCTCTCCTGCCGTTTCCCAGCGCCGTCTACCTCCACTGCGGGCGTCCTCACCTGAATGGTGGCCTGCGCGACCAGCTGGTCGTCGGTGAAGGAGCACTCGTCGTAGATCTCCAGGTGCATCGAGGTTACTCCGTGCGGCACGTAACTGGCGAACAGAGGGAGAGATGCGAGGTCAACCCACCGAGGTCACCCCAAGTGTATGAACCGAGGGGACAAATGATAAGGTCAGCTCCTCGAGGTCAAACGTCAGGCACGTAACTGACGGACAGAGACAGAGATACGAGGTCAACCCATCGAGGTCACACCGTGAGGAACGTAGCTGGCCGACAGAGGGAGAGACGATGAAGTGACTGGTCACTGGTCTGGTCTGGTCACTGGACTGGACTGGTCACTGGCCGCTGGTCACGGCAACGGGCCGAGAATGGCAGCGGATAACATACCGGGTGCTGGGGAACTTCTAAATGGGAGGTGAATATTGATGCAGTTAGCGAAATAGGACACAATGTTAAACTCCAGACCAATAGAAAATGCATGCTTCAAGAGCGAGGCAATGATCGGTATAAAATCATGGCTAAGGGTTGCATACGCTTGTATAGGGTTGTGTTGAAGCAGGTTTGTTGTGATAGCTCGTAGTGAAATCGTTTGATTAAGATATCTTCATATGCCCATTTGGCACTCAATATTGAATCGATCTTTAGTCGTAACATTCATTCAAAAGCACAGCTTCATGACGCTGTGGTTACTGCAGGCCGCCCCTATTACCGACAAACATGACAACCAAACAACACCGTTGGTTTAGTCCGTTACAAGACGGGTACAGGGCCATGGTGTTCGTTCAGCATCCCACAAACCGGGCGAATACTGGACTGGCTACCTGCATAGCCCCCAGGACAGCCTGCCAATCACGATATCGACATAGTACAGTTAGTACAGTGCCAATTACATGAACACCAATGCGGGCTGATAAAACGACTTCGCTAATCTACGTCCTGCCTG